TTTTTTTGTACAACAGATTATAATGCAGTTTTCAAAATGGACCACTTTGGGGGTGGTTTGCTACAGTGCATCATTTGCAATATAATTCAGTGTAGTCAATTCCACTGGTTTTGTTGCAATTTCTGTAATGTCCGTGTACGTAGCACTTCAACATTGCATTTCATGGTGTATTTATCGTTAGATTTTCGACTTCCGGTTTTTCCTTTGCTGCGTAGGCATGACATATTTGTAAGGTTTTTATGGTGTTCCGTGCATTTTTCCACCAATGGATCCGAACAAACATAATGAAACTGTCTCAGGCTTGAAACGACAATTGATGTCGAATATATCTTATTTAAAGCCTCACCTTGAACACGGTTCATCCCTCACAAAGTTTCCTACCAACGCTTTGTTTTCCGTTATATTGTTTGTCATACAAACCAACCTCACACTGTTTCTTATCAGCGTTTTCCTTTCATCCTACATCACGAAACACGTTCGGAATTCAAACTTTGCGCCTTACATGTCGGCCTTCGTAGCCGTACAACCTATGCAAAGGCGATCCAAATGTTGTTGATTGCAGTCCCATTGTGTTGTCATCATCTTTCCTCGAAAACACTGACATGTAGGACATGTTTATGAAACCGTGCATCTTAGCAAGACTGTTTCCGACAGCGTCTCTTATGGTCTGGTCACTATTTTTTCTTCTACCTCATCCCAGGATTCGCAGGCGTAAAACGCAGAATTATCGCAATCCACCTTCTCATTCCAGAATGCATTGCATCTAGGTTCCACCAATCTACCACCCTTACCTGTGCATGCTACACAATTAACTCTACACAAATTTGCATCGTTCAAAGAAATCCGCACTGAGCAATATGACATTGGCGCGGTGTTCGTCCCGAGCTCGTTCAGTATCGGATAAGTTCCGATTCTTCTCAGCGAACGTCCGCATGTTTTCGACTCGGACCTGAATTCTGCAAACCACATACGAGGCGATGATATTACATACTTGCATGTTATTGCCCCTTCTTCCTGACAGCATTCGTTGTCGGAGTCGTTGGTCTCATTCAGTTCTTCATCATCATCGGCATGGTCGTACATCGAGTGAAGCTCTTTGTAGTTCGGTATGTAGGTGACACGCATGGTCTTAGAAGGTATGACGACGAGTCTTCCGCATTCCATGTCATTTGCAAAACGGAAGTCCTTTGCCCATGGGCACTGTGTCATTGCGATGTCCCAATCGTGTTCGCTCCAGTTGCCAATTCTTCCTCGCCACGGTGGTACACTCAGCCATGGGTTGATCCGAAGAGCCTGAACTATCCTTTCTCGCTTATACTTCCATGACGTGGTGTCGTCCATCTTCCAACATATGTTATTAGCTGTGAAAATCACGACGGCCAAACACACTCATTCAGGTTGAGATTACCACTCATATGACCACATTACACGCACTCTATCTCGCCTCCCTTCATATCCACATTGGTTGTAGTCTTTGTTTTCTTGCAGTATCTGACTGCTCCATAGTGTTCGGAGGACCTTGACAGCAACCGTTCTGACGAACGTCGTCGTTCGTCATCATGGAATCACGAACAACACCAGAAAACAAAAAATGAGCATGTCGTGACATAGCGTATGCCGTGTCATCCACGTCGTCAGTTCGGGGAGGCATTTGGAAAACCAGTCTATGGCCCGAAACCCGATGAAGAGTCATGACCTCGCTGTGGAGCAGGTCGGGGACGACGACATAAGGGGCAGCAGCAGACTCAAGGCCACACTATCGTCGCCGGAGTCTTCCTGGGGACACCGCATCATGGCATCACACGCCAGGCCATGCGATCACACGGCATATCGTCCCGTCGAGAACGGACCACGGTAACACATGGTCCGACGTCCCGCGGGCGCCGGGCCATCGCATCGTAATGTCCGGCGGGCCGTGGACGCTGGATCGTCCTATGGTATCACCCGGCGGCCTGTCGAAGCCGGACCATCCTAGCGCATGTCTGGCGTTTCGGGGACGCCGGTCCATCCCATCACATCATCCGGCGGCCCGGGGATGCCGGACCATCCCATCGTATCGTCCGGTGGTGTGGGGATGCTGGACCGTCCATCATATCATCCGGCGGCTCGGGGACGCCGGACGATGTGTTACCATATCGTCCGGCTGCTCGGGAATGCTGAATGATGCCATCATAGCGTCCGGCGGCTCGGGGATGCCGGAGCATCCCATCAGATCATCCGGCGGCTCGGGGATGCCGGACCATCCCATCACGCAATTCGGCATCCCCGTGACGCCTCCCCACGTGATCGCATTGCACGGCGCCCCTGTCATGGCGGAACATGCCATGACATGAAACATTAGCATGCTGTCAGATGGTATGCCTTTCCGGAGAGCGTGGACGGTGGAGCACCGAACGCTTAGTCTGTTCGGGGAGACATTTGGAGAAACACTTATTGGGCCGACGCCGAAGGAGCATATGGTCTTATCATATTATCCGGCGGCCCGGCAACGCCGACGCCGGACCCTCCCGTCATGCGGCTCGACATCCATGGACCGGTTCCCATGTAATCGCACGGTACGGAGCGCTCCCCACGTGATCGCTTGGTTGGGCGAACACATGTCCCACGTCCCATGGTCGCCGGACCATCCTACCGTATTATTCGGCGGCCCGGGGACGTCGGATGATTCGACCATGCATTTCGGCATCCACGAAACGGTTGACGGGATCTTCAGTTCGTGCGCGTCAGCGACCTTGGACCGTCGTATGGTCCAAGGCCTCGGGGACGCCGGACCATCCTACATGTAAGTATGACAGAATTGTCATTCATTTGTCCTCTGACGAGTAACTTCGTTGTCTACCAAACAAATTTATTCAGATGATTAGTGTGTTTCGGGAATTATCATACACTTTTTGTATTGTAGTCGTGACACCGTGTCTGTTGTACATATGCACACACACACACACACACACTTCGGGATACAGAGACAAAGAAACATATACACATACAGGCACATGGAGTTTCTTGTATACACATGCATCTATGTATACACGCATTGCTTCTAATCAACATATGTTGTAATTCTTTTCGCATTTTGTAAACACATAGGTTTCTTGTACAACTGCAGGCTGACTTTACTCCATTACACGTGGAGTATGATATATGTTCCTTTGTTGAGGTCTTGACACTTAGTCACTGGGTATATTGTTCAACCACAATTGTGGCAACTAGAAACCTTACTGAATACCATGCCAACTAGAAACCAATGCCCTCTAGAAACCCACGCGTACTAGTAACCCGAAACCATATGAAAACCACCCCAACAAGAAACCAATGCCACTAGAGGGCATTGGTAGTAGCCTAAACGCACCTCAAAACCATGCCAACTAGAGGACGTCGTGCCGTGTGGTCTTCTATTATAATTCTTTGTGCGTGGTGAATATCCATTGCCACAGTACGGACAGTTCTAGAGATGAATGTGTCATTTGCCACAGTACGGACAGTCGTATACGTCTCTGCTCCAACCCGTAGAAAAGGTCACTGCTTTCTTCCCGCCACGTGTGTACTTTTTTCTATCGAGAATAACGTCTAACGTGTCATCCCGATGTTCGACGTTCCACCATATCTCGTCATAATTATCAAACAGATAATGAACCTGAATGTGCACTAAGCATTCTATCCTCATTTCGATCTCTTTCCTTAGAGCATGATCATGGGATATTCGAGTTTTGAAGCGCCCAAGTGATCCGGCAAGTGTAGGGCTGTTGAACGCTTCCTGATACGTAAGTGTGCCATTGTAAAACTCCTCTCTAGCAAGGAACAACGCGTTGATTTTTTTATCGTTCACCTTGGCCGCTGTGAAAAGTGTCACAACGGTGGTGTTACGATTCAACACCCGGATTCGACCATTAAAATCTACAAAGATCGGGAACTGCAGGTGCGCTTTTCCGATGCAAAACCAAGCACATTGTTTGGCGTGTTTCCTGTCCTGCTGTGACCATTGCTGCTTGATACACAATGTTTTCCACGCGTCAATCATCTCCGTTGGTGCAACAGGGTCTTCAATACCGTCCTCGCCGTCGGGCTCTAGATCGACTTCTTTCTCCAATGAGTACAAGTACCAGAAGTCTTTGTCGTCGTCACGATCAAGCTCGATGCCGTTGCCTCCCATGACCCAAGACATGAGAATTTCACCGTCAGGTGCGACATTTTCGACAAAGTGCAAATAGCGAGAGTCGATGCTGACGATATCATTTTCCCATATATTTTTATCGAATATTATGAGATCCAGGGCCGGTGTATTTGAACTGTCGCCTGCTGATGAAGTCGCAATCGATAATGTGTTGTCGTGCGACGCATTGCGGTCGACATTCATCCTGCAATACGAACATAAGCACGATGAAAGAAATGTAGCATATATTTCACACCATCCCCCCGTCCTATTTTTTCAGGTGAGCAATAACCTAGGAAATTGGCCGTTCATCCGCTGGCTGAGTTGCTTCATACCGATGTTTTTTTTCAACTTTGTCTTTTTCATTTTCTGCACTATTCATGTAGTGTACACCCAACGAAGCACTTTTGTAGCACTTGTAACAGCAATGCATGTTCTTTTGCTAATATAAAGCAACATTGCGTCCCTGATCACACTACAAAAGCGCATCACGTGCCGAGATATCCATAATTCTTCATCGTCCGTTTCTTCGTCGGCACACAGTCTGCTTCTATCGACGCGTGTCGCACAATGTGTCATTCCATGTCGTGCTTCGAAAGCAACACATAAAGCCCTTCCTCGTTCACGAAAGCGTGAATCGCAGAGCCAACCAGAACCATAATAAACATTTTTCCATTTACCGATGCCCTCCTTCTTATAGAATACAGCAGGTTCGCATGTGTTAGCCAGTTTGAACAGTTTGCATTACATCTTCGGTGTCCAATATTCCAGTGCCGGGTAGAACATGGATTCGTCCATCGACTGCAAGCCGATAGCGGTGATCTTTTGCCTGGCCCGATAAGGTATAAGTTCGTCGTACTGGATCACCTTCCCCCACTTATCCGCTCGGCGACGCCATGCTTGCTCGATTTTCATTTCCATCGAGATTGCAACGATATCGCTGTTTCGAAAAACAAAAGCCATGCACGTCAAATGATGCAACAGTTATTCTGCGTAATCGATATTTTTCTATTGCTGCCAGCAACTTCATTGCCTTCACTGCGTCGCTCTTCCGGAATCTTAATCCAGTTCTGCCTGTCTTTTCGGTTTTCCATCCCCATACCACATCTGTTATGTTTTGCCATCCATGCGAAGATTCATTCGCAACATACCGGTCTCTTTACCTTCTGGCCTCTAATTTTGTACGAGAATCTCCTCTAAGTTTTGTGATATCTGTCGCACATGCCCTACCCAAAAACCAACTCCTTTCTCTGCATTATCGTCTGGAGCGCGCATCACCACAGAAAAGGCGATAGCAACATGCTTTGCCAGGTCGAATTTTGGTTTCGGGGCATCACTCTAAGAACCCACGAAACAAATTTTTCGAGGTGGCGAATCAACAACGGGAAGTTACACCTTCAGGTCTTCTACGGCAGAAGGAGATATTCGAAGAACCGGTCTCTGGCCCGGAACCCGATGAAGAGTCTGCACTTCGCCGTGCAGTGGGCCAGGGACGACAGCACAAGAGGCGACAACAGACTTAGGGCCAGATTACCGTCGAAGGATTCTTTCCGGGGACAGCGTATCGTGCCATCACACGCCTGGCCATGCGACCACACGGCGTAGCGTCCCCTTTTAGAATGGACCATGCGAGCACATGGCCCGGCGCCTCGTGGACGCCGGGCCATCCCATCGTATCATCCGGCGGCTCACGGACGCCGGATCGTCGTATTGCATCACCCGCGGACTCCTCAAAGCCGGACCATGTGGTCGCATCATCCGGCGGCCCGGGGACGCCAGACCATCCCATCATAGTATCCGACGGCTCGAGGATGCCGGACCATCCCATCATAGTATCCAGCGGCTCGAGGATGCCGGACCATCCCATCATAGTATCCGGCGGCTCGAGGATGCCGGACCATCCCATCATAGTACCCGGCGGCTCGAGGATGCCGGACCATCCCATCATGCTATTCGGCATTCATGTAAGGACATTTTTTTGGTCTGTTTTGGGGCAACGGGGACATCGAAAAGAGGCTGAAAACCGTGGCTTCGTCGCATTGTCTCCTGTCGGGCATCGGAGCATCAGCGGTATGTGACCCCCGTGGTGGAGTGTCTTCGTATGGTCTTGGGCGATAGGGCCCATACACTATTGTATGATGGTGCCGTGGGACCATGCGAGCACATGGACCGGCGTCCCGCTGACGTCGGGCCATCCCATCGTATCATCCGGCGGCTCACGGACGCCGGATCGTCACATTGCATCACCCGCGGACCCCTCAAAGCCGGACAATGTGGCCGCATCATTCGGCGGCCCGGGGACGCCGAACCATCCCATCACAGTATCCGACGGCTCGAGGACGCCGGACCATCCCATCATAGTATCCGGCGGCTCGAGGATGCCGGGCCATCCCATCATGCTGTTCGGCATTCCCGTAAGGTCTGTTTTGGGCCAACGGGGACATCGAAAAGAGGCTGAAAATCGTGGCTCCGTCGCACTGTCTCCTCTCGGGCATCGGAGCATCAGCTGTATGTGACCCCCGTGGTGGAGGGTCTTCGTATGGTCTCGGGCGATACGGCCCATACACTATTGTATGATGGTGCCGCGGGACATTGAAGCAGCGTACGCTTTCCCACGCCGGATGACAGTGAACCGACGTGTGGTCCGGGCCGTCGACGACCCCGGAGTGATATTTTCGCATTATCGGCCATCCACTTCGTGGCGGGCTGTTCGGTGGGCCATGCTTCAGACCTCACAACCTGTTGTCGCATGCCTCGTGTTGTGCGGTGATACCATGACGACACGAAGATAGACCATGAAGAATAAAGAAGAAAAAAAAAAAAAAAAAAAAAACCTT